TCTCCCTAAATTCCCATCTCCTAAATCCCTATCTCCCTAAATTCCTATCTCCCTAAATCCCCATCCCCCTAAATCCCTATCTCCCTAAATTCCCATCTCCTAAATTCCTATCTCCCTCAACTCCCAAATTACAAAATGGCAACCTTCTTCTCCATTTCATACCACTTCACACATATCTCTAAAAAATCCACAGGAAGTCTCCATGAAATGATAATAAGTAAAATAGTTATTTTATACATAATTTATTGAATATACAAAGTAAGCTGTAGTATGGCGCAATTTCACCTCATTCCATTGGCATAATTTCAAACTTGAAATCTTGCATCGAAAAAACAAAATGGAACCGGTATCATACTCTATTGATTGATCGAAGTAGATAGACATACCTGCATTTTTACGAATTCGATACTTTCACCGGAATCAATTTAAACGTTCTTCCTTCTTGCTTTTTTATTTGACATTTCATTGAATCACAGCGGGTAATGACATGTCGTTCCATATAAAAGATACTTTGACCCAGTGAAAGATAGAGGCCACCGACCATGAACAAGAGAAACGTGGTTTGACACGACGAATCCTCTTTCTTGTCTTTGATTTGTGTTTTCTACAAATTGCTTACCTTGGAACAATAAAATTATTCGTGGAGAGTGCACAAATTCGAAAATTATGCTAATTCTGGATTAGAAATTTTATTGTTCTTCGAATATTGTAGATGAGTCTGCGAAATGTGGTTCGCTATTTGTTTGATGCTTGAAGTAGGCTTTTTTCAAATTTCCAAACCCCCCCAAATTCCCAAATTTCCAGACCCCCCTAAATCCCAAAATTCCCAAATTTGCAAATCCCCCCAAATTCCCAAAATTTCCAAATTTCCAAACCTCTCAAATTCCCAAAATTCCCAAATTTCCAAACCCCCCTAAATCCCAAAATTCCCAAATTTGCAAATTTCCCCAAATTCCCCAAATTTCGACAATTCCAAACCCTCCTAAATCCCTAAATTCCCAAATTTCCAAACCCCCCTAAATCCCAAAATTCCCAAATTTCCAAACCCCCCTAAATTCCCAAATTCCCAAATTTTCAAACCTCTCAAATTCCCAAAATTCCTAAATTTCCAAACCCCCCTAAATCCCAAAATTCCCAAATTTGCAAACCCCCCTAAATTCCCAAATTCCCAAATTTTCAAACTTCTCAAATTCCCAAAATTCCCAAATTTCCAAACCCCCTTAAATTCCAAAATTCCCAAATTTGCAAACCTCCCCAAATTCCCAAAATTTCCAAATTTCCAAACTCCCCCAAATTTCCCAAATTCCAAAGTCCCACCTTTCCAAACCCCCAAATTCCTAAAATCTTACCCATGACATAACAGAACAACTCTACCGTAACGATTCGAATGAAAACATCGGCATTTCCGTTCTCTTAGTTGCACATCTTATAATAACACTTCGACATTACTCTCTGTGTTGTTGATATTGGTTTATATTAAAGATGTGGTTCACTCCGCGTTGTTACTTTCTCGATTCATTGATCAGTTTCTTCCACAGCCTCACGATCCATGAATTATGTAACTAATTTTCCTCACCCACATACTACTTGTAGACATAGATGTCTTATTGCAAGGAGTTGATGTAATTACTCTACACTTTGAGGTTATGTTCGTAACCGTTTTACCTGTTACTCAACTTTTCATACATAATACATATGTATGTAAACTTTGAACTCATCTTGTAAAATTAATGTTAATAAAATTACTTCTAGTATTATAATTTAATAAAACTGTATAGTAATTTAATTTATTTATAATTTAATTTTGTACAATTTGGGTTACTATTTTCTTGAAATTCTTTAGACTTTTTTGTACGTTTCAAAGAGTCCAAATTTTGAGATTTTTATCTCACGTCATTTTTAATAATTTTAATAACTTGCTTAGTGTAAAGTATTATAGTATTAATAATTTGATAGTATGAAGTATATGTACGTATACTATGCTATGTATAACAGTATAACATGTGTATACATTTAAAATTGTATGTATCATTACATGTATAAGTTTATGCATAAATACAAATGTACTTCAAAATTGATTATCCAAAATTAACGTGTATAAGTTTATGCATAAGTACAAATATATTTGAAAGCTAATAATCCAAAGTTTATGCATAAGTACAAATACAGTTCAAAGCTAATTACCCAAATTAACGTGTATAAGTTTATGCGTAAGTACAAATACACTTCAAAGCTAATTATCCAAATTGACCTAATAAACTTTACAACATATATAGGTTTACGCGTAAGTACAAATACAGTTCAAAGCTAATTACCCAAATTGACCTAATAAACTTTAAAACACAAAATATCACAGTATACCTCCTTGAACGAATGTGGATCGCGAAATTGAAGTAGTTTACAAGAAAATAACATTCATATCCTGTCGATGACTCCAGAACTGGGTCAACGAATGATCAGGTCTGTGTTACGAGGATTTCAGCTTCGAGGCAAACGAGCGCTAATCTCCTTGTCATCGAACCTTTTTCTGCGTCTACTTTTTGGATGCGACTCGCAGCCACGAGTGAAAGGCGCCACAGTTTATTATAACCTTCGAAGTTGTTCTTTTATTTAGCATCACTTAGCTCTCTTTTCCCTTTTGCACAGGGAATCCGTAGTTATGACGATGTAAAGAAGTCTTGCTTTTTCAAATCATTCCATGGGAAATGTTCTTTCTGGGAAACTCTATCTTTGCTGTTATGCAAATTCAAGTAGACGTGCTTTCCTTCAGATCTTATCTGTTATGAAAATTGTATCGGCCGCTGCTTTTTCTGGGTCTACCTTTCACTTAGGTCCGGGATTTTTGTAGATCTAGTTCTTCTTCGGAGCCAGGTGTTTTTGTAACTGGTTCAAGTTTAGGTTTATGTTTTTTATCAATTTACTTCTGGGTGAGTATGTTTAGTATGTGGTTCTTTTACGGGTTCACTTTTTCAAGGTTTAGTTTTCTTGGATTTACTTAGATTTTGGGGTCAGTTTTCATTGGTAGCTTTTTCCTAGGTTCACATTTTCTAGGTCCACCTTTTCTAGGTGTAGGTCTTCTCTAGGTCCATCTTTTCTAGGACCAGGTCTTTTCTAGGTCCACCTTTTCTAGATCCAGATCTTCTCTAGGTCCATCTTTTCTAGGTCCACCTTTTCTAGGTCTAGGTCTTCTCTAGGTCCACCTTTTCTAGATCCAGGTCTTTACTAGGTCCACCTTTTCTAGGTCCACCTTTTCTAGGTCTAGGTCTTCTCTAGGTCCAGGTCTTCTCTAGGTCCACCTTTTCTAGGTCTAGGTCTTCTCCAGGTCCACCTTTTCTAGGTCTAGGTCTTCTCTAGATCCACCCTTTTCTAAGTCTACTCTTCCCTAGGTCCACTCTTTTCACAGATCCACCTTTTCTCTAGGTCTACCCTTTTTTAAGTCCACTCTTCTCTAGGTTCACCTTTTCTCTAGGTCCACCTGGTGGTCCTCAAAGTCTACTTTGTCCTCTAGGTCCACCTGATGGTCCTCTAGGTTCACCTTGTTCTCTAGGTCCACCTTGTCCTCTAGGTCCACCTTGTTCTCTAGGTCCACCTGGTGGTCCTCTAGGTCCACCTTGTTCTCTAGGTCCACCTGATGCTCCTCTAGGTCCACCTTGTTCTCTAGGTCCACCTGATGGTCTTCTAGGTCCACCTTGTTCTCTAGGTCCACCTGATGGTCTTCTAGGTCCACCTTGTTCTCTAGGTCCACCTGATGGTCTTCTAGGTCCACCTTGTTCTCTAGGTCCACCTGATGGTCTTCTAGGTCCACCTTGTTCTCTAGGTCCACCTGATGGTCCTCTAGGTCCACCTTGTTCTCTAGGTCCACCTAATGGTCCTCTAGATCCACCTTGATCTCTGGGTCCACCTGATGGTCCTCTAGGTTCACCTTGTTCTCTAGGTCCACCTTGTCCTCTAGGTCCACCTTGTTCTCTAGGTCCACCTGATGGTCTTCTAGGTCCACCTTGTTCTCTAGGTCCACCTGATGGTCTTCTAGGTCCACCTTGTTCTCTAGGTCCACCTGATGGTCTTCTAGGTCCACCTTGTTCTCTAGGTCCACCTGATGGTCTTCTAGGTCCACCTTGTTCTCTAGGTCCACCTGATGGTCTTCTAGGTCCACCTTGTTCTCTAGGTCCACCTGATGGTCTTCTAGGTCCACCTTGTTCTCTAGGTCCACCTGATGGTCTTCTAGGTCCACCTTGTTCTCTAGGTCCACCTGATGGTCTTCTAGGTCCACCTTGTTCTCTAGGTCCACCTGATGGTCTTCTAGGTCCACCTTGTTCTCTAGGTCCACCTGATGGTCTTCTAGGTCCACCTTGTTCTCTAGGTCCACCTGATGGTCTTCTAGGTCCACCTTGTTCTCTAGGTCCACCTGATGGTCTTCTAGGTCCACCTTGTTCTCTAGGTCCACCTGATGGTCTTCTAGGTCCACCTTGTTCTCTAGGTCCACCTGATGGTCTTCTAGGTCCACCTTGTTCTCTAGGTCCACCTGATGGTCTTCTAGGTCCACCTTGTTCTCTAGGTCCACCTGATGCTCCTCTAGGTCCACCTTGTTCTCTAGGTCCACCTGATGGTCCTCTAGATCCACTTTGATCTCTACGTCCACCTGATGGTCCTCTAGGTTCACCTTGTTCTCTAGGTCCACCTTGCTCTCTAGGTCCACCTGGTAGTCCTCTAGGTCCACCTGTTGGTCCTCTAGATCCACCTTGATCTCTAGGTCCACCTGATGGTCCTCTAGGTTCACCTTGTTCTCTAGGTCCACCTTGTTTTCTAGGTCCACCTGATGGTCCTCTAGGTCCACCTTGTTCTCTAGGTTCACCTTGATTTCTAGGTCCACCTGATGGTCCTCTAGGTCCACCTTGTTCTCTAGGTCCACCT